CTGACAGCGAGAGGACTTTATCAAAGCTGCGGCTCGCTCTGCAGATAACAGAGCTAAAAGCAAAAGATGTAAAAATTAACTTTGAAGAGTGTCGGTTTACAAACTGAATGTATCATCTTAAATCTATTTAAACACTGAAACTAGGAGTATATAACTTCACCAACCTGAGGTCAAGGGAATCAAAGGGCACACGCCATATTATCCAGAGTGAGTGAGATAATAAAATTGTCAGATCATAAAAGCCATAAAAGATCCATTCTACTGCCGTGGTCCAAATAGCTGCCACTAATGTATTAGACTACATGGTATGCATTAGCACTGGTGCCAGTAAAGTAATTCTCTCAGAGAGAAAACTATTAAGGCATTCATATACTCACTCTAAAGCATTTTCCCGGGAAAATCTGCAGGTGTTTGACAGACACGCATAGAGGAGGAATGCTTTTCTCGGAGGTCAAGCTGAGCTCCTCCATCCACACGAGACAGTATATCATGTGGATGCAGAATTGAGTGGTTAGGCATGTTCTTCTGATCAGGCCGTGTCTCCCTGATGCTCCCAGTCACAGCAAACAATTCAAAGGGGCTAGACGCTGACTTCAAAAGACCACGCTGGCTTTGAACACTATGCCAGTTGCACAGCCCATCAGTGGCACATCAGCATCCTCAAGGCATGCAGGGAGCAAATTTGAGCAAATCACCATCGACTACAGATGCATCATTTGGCAAAGAGTTTTCACTGGATACCAGACAATAAAAAAACACCATGAAGAGGCAATGCAGCAACATAGAGCTCAAGTACCACCCCACTTAGTAGCAGCTTTTGCTTCAATTGCTCTTGGGTCTCAAAGTATTTTCTCATAAAGGGCTTTGTTCATAACTTGAAGCTGAAATGACTGTTTCTGCTGTATTTTCTTTGGCTCTTATTCAAATGGATATCGAGGCCCATAATGTGCCTATTTTTTCCTTCATTATATGATATGTAAACAAGACTAATATATACACATATATGTAGACACAAACAACACTAACATCATTATTCAGCCTGTCTTTCACACACTGAATGAAAGCTTATTGATATCGGTGATTTTGATAAAGAAGTTGGTATTATCTTATTATAAAAAAGCTCAAATTTCTCACAACTGATAAAGCGATCATTTATTTTAAATCTGTTCCCCTGTTTCAGCCTTTTAGAAAGTCGAATAAAATGGATCTTCTCTGATATTTTAAAAAAAAAGCTGATTGGATGAGGCTAATGGAACGAAAACTCTGTCTCGATTGTTTTGGTCTCTCTTTTGGGGAATTCATCACCATCATAACTGTCACGTATAGGAGACAATAAGCAAGCACCATATATTTAATATACTGTCTGCTTACCCAGCATGCCAGATAAAAATGGTCGCAACGTTTAGATTTTCTAAATATGAACCACACAATATAGCCATCGTAACAGCAGCCATCCATCTTATTCAACCGAATGACAATGAACGCCTCAAAGTTGTCATGTTGCAGCTCCATCTGACAAAACCCAGACAGGCTCCTAAGCTGATACGCATTCACACAGAAAACCACAACCATACAAAGCATACAAAATATTGCATTTATTCGTAACAGACACTTGACATTTGTCACAGAGTCTTCAGCCTTAGCTTGAGATGGAATTTATTATCAGGTGTCTTAAATGACAAATGCTACTAAGGTAAACAGATCATTGACAGAACAGGAAATAGGATGTAAACACCTGTTTTGGGAGCATCATTGGCACAGTGGAGTGCTTAATACTAAAGCCCAAACCAGAGTAATGTTGAAAGGTGAAATCTCTACACATCAATTCTGTCCTGAGCAGCACAGTGCAGCAGAGCTTATTACAGACTCTCAATCTGTCTCAAGTGTTCAGACTATGTCAGTAATGCTGGGCTGCGGGGCCCTCGAAACGCTTCATTAAAAAGCTTGGCTATCCAGAGCACATCCGTGGCAGCCAAATAAAGTGTCAGACCGCATTTTTCATCTGCAGATTAAACCTATGTAAGCCTGAATTAAACCAAATTAGATCTGAAAATGAGAAATAAACCAAAGCCAGATGAGTGGAGAGGCATGTCTGCTGTGAGCCGGGGGGAAACTGCTCAAAGGCCATATGGAGGAGTGGGTCTGTAGGATGTCACTGCCTCGGCCCCTTATGTACTTTTTGAAGTCATTAGAGCCTTATGGTCTGTTGCTTACAAATACAAATTCTGTTTCATTAATTCACATGGAATATACGGGGAAGCAGGGACTGGGCCCCTTATTCTTTCATCTGTTATGATCTAAAGAATCAGTTCAGCACTCAAGTATCTCTAGATTAAAGGATCTGTTCTCCCTGACCACATTGAGGCTGTTTATTCCTCCACAATGGAAGTCTAGGTGCTTTCAAGAGTGAGTTTCAATCTCGAATTGGGGCCTTTGTGTGTGGCTGAGTGCATTAGGGCTACACTTTGCTGGCCCGGTAGATAAACTTTCTGTTAATCAATCACACAGTGTCCCGTTCTTTGTTTTCTTTTCATTCTATCTTCCCATCAAGCCCTGCACACACCCAAACATACACACACACCGTACACACACAAAGTCTTCTGCCACCTGACGTTACTGTCTTCTCAGACTTCTATGTGGACAATTACAGATCAATAGCTGCTTGTGACTAAAACCTGCCAGATTCGAATGCCTATAAACTGGTTGCTGTCTACACTTTTACCCTCGCCGCGTTAGACGCTCAGCCAACCCACTGTGCTAAAATTCAGCCACACGGTATCTTCTACAAAACATGGCCCCGAGATGACTTGTCTCTGTAGACGCCTACAACACAGACTGAGCGTACAGAGCTGGAGATGAGCCGGCAGCGCGATCTAGCCCTTTTGTTCCACGCATCATAAAATGGGATCCAAACCTTTCATTCTTGCTCGCAAAACCTTCAGCAATCAGTGATGCGAGCCACAGTAGAAACGCTGAACCTTCGATGGCATCGCATGCAACTTTGCACACAACCTCTGGATTGCCTTTGAAGCGAAACTGAGAAAGCGAAACTTGTAGAATACTGTACTTTCAAGATTTTGATTGAGAATGTCTTTACGCATGGTAAACAACTGCCCATTCACAATTTTCGAGTTGACAGCACCTAAAAACTGAATCATGTCAATTATCAATCATGCCAACACTGGGTGTGTCTATTGAGTAAATGTTACAGTGATAAATTGCTTTTCTAAACATAGAAAGAGGTATTCATCTTAAGATTTACTGCACTTCAAAACGCTCACATGCTTTTCCTTTGAGCATTGAGAATTCTATTAGACATGTATTTGGATTCTTCCTGAGCTCTTCAAACAAACAAACTAAAAAAAACATAATCACATCATGCATCCTTCTTTGTGGTACACGAAGATTAACAAAACGCCAGGCAACCGTGAATGAATCTGAATCTGCAAGGAAGCCCTCCTGTGCACGTGCATGTTATGCTGTGCTTCTGGGTAAAATATATCGCTATATTCTCCCAGATCTTATTAAAAGATCACTTTTGGTTTAGTTAGAGTTGAAGATCTACAGACTGTGCTCACAGTTTTGACAAATACTGCTAAGGGAAGCCTCCGCAGATGTCTCTCACGCCCCCTCCATCACTTGTAAAACATTTCAAACTTGTATGTGGAACATCACGACTACGAAAGTCAGCTTTGAACATTAGCTTGTTATTTACAGTCAGCAATAACCTGGTGGAAACCTTCTTTCTGCCAGAGGCTTGATGGATTCCCCAACTACATGTTGCAGGAATCATCAGGCAGAGCGCAAGTGCACAACAACGGCAAAATAATCAAGCAAGTCCGTATCGTTTGGCTGCTTGTTGAGAACATCCATAATACCAGCTGAAGGATGCTGCAGCACATCAAGCTGTGAGCTCTATAAAACACCTCAATCCAAAGTGACAGATATAAACAGTACCACAGTAAACAGAGACGACCCCCAAAGGTTAGCATCACTCACTGACTCACAAGCTGGCAAATGTTCTGCAAAGTCTTAAACAGTCTCCTGACAACTACAAATTTTTTTATCATCGTGGACTAAATATATATTAATCTGTTAAATATCACTTGAAAGTCACGATGCATGTAAACCACCGCCATAAAAGCCACATGCAGCTATCTCCTGAGTTATTATTTTACAACAGTCTCATGGATTTTGACCCTGTTAATTAGTACTAACACATTAGCAATTAATAAAGTACTTTATAAAGGCGATAGCACCCTGGGTGAAGAACTTAAAATTTCACAAAACAAGATTACAACTTGATAATCGGTTCCTATCTGACATCAAGTCCACAGTGTGTTGAAAGCGTGAAGTAGGAGCTCTGTCAGCGAGCATATCAGTGTTTTTCTCAGCGAGTAAAATAACCTTGGCGGAAAAGATTTTTCTTACAAATGTGGCATACATTTTAGCTCTGCACAATGCAAATGGATGCATTACGGTCATTGCAAATGACAAGAGACGCAACAGATAAAAATTGAAGATAATTGTCTGCTTTCAAGATTTTACCGTTCGTTTAAGATAAACGTGTGAATTTGTGTTTTTGACCAGAGAAATGTGGTAGTGCGGCAGATCTGCATCTGAGCCTTCAGTTCTTGGAAGGCGTGATTATAATTTATCTAAAACAAATAACAATTTGAGATTATTCCATCCGATGTGTTTATGTTCTTCTGGGTTTGACAGCTCGTCCCAGCACTGACCAATTAAACAGTCAACAGACCATTTAAGACCCGATTAGACACAGACTGGCTTTTAATTTGATATGCATGCAGACCAAGCAAGGCAGGTGGATAAGATGTCTGTCTGAAACAGAGACGCATGACAATTGGAGTTCAGTGTTTCTGCTGTGGTCCAATCATCTCAGGTCACAGCAAATCGGCGAACGTGAGAAATAGGCGGTTACTTCACAAATGAGGAAGTGACCTCAGATCGACAACATGAATCATGCAGGCGTGTCCTACCTTATCAGGATTGTCTTCGATCCAGCGTTTTACTGTTTTCAAAGCAATGTCAGCTGCAGGCTCATTGGGAAAGCCTAGACATAAAAAAGGAAAACGAAAAAAAAGTGTCAATACCTGTTGTATACAACATGCAGATACCAGAGGGAGACAAAAACAGACAGGCAAACAAACAGAAACGGATATCTCCAAAGGTAATGGCATTTCTCCTTAAATCAATAGAAAGCAGCACAATCTGCTCGGCACTGGCAGATGAGCACAGCTGTCCGTTCAACTGCTGTAGAAGTTTGTTGCCAGATGCAGGGTGAAAAGAAGTGCTATTTTTGGAGGGTGATGACAGCAAATACAAGCTACATGTAAAGACACATCTGCAAGCATCATCTGGAAGTATAAAGCCCTATTCAAACCCTCACTTCAAGCAGAACTGATTAAGATTTTGTCTTGATGGGGACAATTACACTTAGACGTATGAACTTTTAAGCGATTTTATTTTACCCGCATGCCAGAGTAACCATAAAGGCAGCGTGCCTAACAAGCAATGTGGTTGTATTAACAACAACTGTGCGAGCTGTTGTGATTGTATCGATGGAAAAAAAAGATTGTAACTTTATTAATTTTTAATAAGGGAAGGCTTTGCTAGATGCTGATCTCAGGATCATTTGCTTCCACTGTAGACAACTTCCCAAGTGCAAACAATTAGAATGAGCTATTGACTATAAAACCCTTCGGGCCAGCCTTGCTAAGAGCTAAAGAGTAGACAGTATATGCCATTACCAAAAGAGCTGACAATCTGCTATAGAGCAGTGTTTCAGCTCTCTTCATTTCAAAGTAATAATAGTTGAGTTTGTTTGTCTGTGTCGTTCACACTACTTGACTCAGGCACATTGATTTTAGATCCTCTAGTTAGTTTGCTGCTCTGTGAGTACAACCTTTACAGTTCAGCATGTCTAATTCAAAGACCACAAGCTAACAGATAAACACAGCTTAATTTTTTCAGTCACAGTGACCCTCTTCAAGATTAAAAACTAGTCGCTCATCTATTGTACAACCCCTGACCTCTGTAAGGCACAACAGGTTATGGGAGACGGTGTCATAGTCTAACGAAAGCCTGCCGGGTATTGACCATGCCACATTTTCAAACACTGTTCCTGTCCTGGGTCATTGCCATGACTGTGGCGCGCTATGACCTATGAAACAGCCTTATAAGCACTGCAACAACCTCTATCATTTAAGTCAGATGTAAAGAAAAATTAAAAGCCAGAAATCGCTAACCTTACATTTCCTCTACTCTTTCATCGCACTCTCTCAGACCACCTGCTGTCACAGTTTCTCAATAACTATTCTCTAAATGCTTCACATCAACTGCCTTGACAGTCAAGATATAGTGTGCAGTGCTTTAACCCTACCACCTTCACCCATCTGACTGCTGCTGATGTCTCTTTTCCTTACTGCTTCTCTTTCCCTCCCCTTCCACAGCTTGACAGGAGTGGCCGAATTACACCGAGGAGAGAAGAGGGGTTGACTCGCTGCTGAGCCCTTGCTGAGCTCCTGTTCAAGCTCTGGGTGAAGCAAGATGTGAGCTGCATACCGGCCAGCAGTGACAGCCAGTCTGCTTCTATGGCTCTGTTAGACAGTGTCTGCAGACAGTGCACAGCCCCGTTCACAGCTCCTGTCCTTCAAAAGATGCCCCGAGAGCTGCGTGCTCAGAACCTAATCCAGAATGCCAAATTGGTCTGCAGGTCACCTGGCTCTCCCTGTCTCCCAAGCACACTTAACCTTTCCAGTGATATAATTTCTTTTTTGTTTAAATGTTACCTTTTGTAAAAGTGCTACCACACCTATGAAGGAGTAACAACAGATCAAGTAACACAAGCCAACAGATGTGTAGATGACAAGAAAGCTTAAAAAAATAGATCCACAAAGAAAACACCAGCTGTTTAGGAAACCGCAGGAGAAAAAAGAGAGGTGTCGGAGAAGTAGAACACAAACAAATGAAACAAATAAGTAAATTGTTAAAATTGTAAATAACTGCCTTTGTGCTCTAGCTCTATTCATCTTAAGAGAGAGATAAACAGGCACACATTATATTTGGAGCTAAAAACAGGTCTAAATCTCGATAATAGTACATGCTGGTCACCAGAAGTGTGGATGGCACTGAGTACATTTAATCTATTCTATGTGGAGTTTCTGCAAATGCTTTATTGATTCGAGAGCTATACCTATTAATCATAGCGGAGAAGAAAAGAGGGGCAGAGAGAGCAGTTAGCTGGAGAAATAATGAAAACAGTAACAGGAAGGTGAAATGATAGACTTGGTAGTCTATGTTGGACAGAGATTTAGATGGAAAGCCTGTAAAAGGTGTCAGAGCAGCTGAGGGCAGCCTGGCAGAACGACCCTGCTCAACTGCAACATCAAGGTCAATGGCAGCATTTCGAGAGCTCTCTCATCATTTGTCTCCTTCTGCAACTTTTAACTTTCACCACCTCTCCTCTCTTTGTCCATTTCAGCCTGGTCACGTACGCTGAAACGGCGAGACAGAAAAACTCTCGGTCCACACGTCCAAAAGAGTCTCTCTCAGACCTGCGAGTCACAGCAGGAGTCGACACAACCCCGCTTCCTGAATGATGTTCAGCTCTGACTCTTTTATATGCTCAAGTACGCACAAAATGACAGAGTTCAGTGTTTTACTTCTCCATCTTCTCCTTTCAACACCTCCTTCTCATTTTTTTTGCCATTTGCTGTGTTGAGAGTTCGGGAAAAACCAATCTGTCAGGTGGCGGGCAGCTGGCGTCGGGCGCAGTGATGGTGGGCCCTCCAGGGTCCCTGCTCTACTTGGCTCGGCTCTCACCTATGCTGGGAATATGCTCGGCTTTGGGAGATTTGTCTTAGTGAGGTGCACTAATGGGATATGTGCAGCACAGCGCCGCTGATGAGGGCTCAGGTGGCGCAGTGTTATTTCTGCTGAAGGCTCCTCTACTTCATCACCGGGCACAGGGCGAGGAGAGGAGAGGGGAGAGAAACTTGCATGTACCGTGTAAATAAAAGGACACAACAACACTATTGCGTAACATTGGGATATGCAGTCAACAATGTTGACACTATAGCAGCTACAAGCCAAGTGTTCATCCAGTAATTTCATGCCTTTGACTTAAAGCAGCATCATTGAACTGTTCGAGAAGGACTGCTTAATTTCCTTTTAATTTCCTTTTAGTTAAAGCTTTATTTTAACTAAAATATATTAATATTAAATACTTTAATATTAAATATTAATTACTAAAATATTTATATTAAAGCAGCAAGTTACATCCATCTTGCGCATGTGCACACTTGCTTTGATGTAGCCAATCGACAGGATCATATGCAAAAAGCACTTCTTGCACAAGTCCTTATGTGATTTTTCAGGCATATAGTAGGTTGTGTATTTTACATGAAGCTAAAAACCAAAGAAAGTCCCTTGAGTTTGATGTTAAAGCTAAAAATTCAGATATTCTGTTCAGAATGCTAAACAAAAGCTCCCATCTCAATCGCAGTCAACTCTGTAACAGTTGGAAAATAGAAGTTCGTGGTCAAAAATATCCACTCAACTGTAACATGGGAGGAAAAAAAATATATAAATGTGTACTCTGCCTTAGGGGAAATTTTGGCTTTAAGAACAAGCAGGCCCATTGCTCTGACTGTTGCCAGCATGGCAGCTCTTTCACATCCTAAATTTACTTTAACTCAACTTTCAGAGTTAACTTTTGCAACAAACTTGTACAGCTAAGGTGTTTTTTCCTGTGGTGAGAAGTGGATGCATCACCTGATAAAGTGAGCAGTAGAAAGTCAACAAGTTGAATACATGTCCGGGCTATGTTACATTCCCATTTTTTATTTGCAAATGCATGGGTAGCCTTGTAGGCGCACACTGCAGATCACACCACTTTTGTTTTTCCTGAGTGGGCTTATATTGTGCAGAGAATACCACAGCCTGCTGTTATTTTAGGGCTTCATTATTTCTAGTGTTTCTTTCTCTCTCTCTCTCTCTCTCTTTTTAGCACCTAGTCTTCTGATTTTTTTTTTTTTATTTGCAAGGATATGGTGCCAACAGATAACAGAAATGGTGAAGTCTGATAAACTGAGGCTGTATGATGTTTGAATTCCTCAGAAATACAGAAAGTGCAGGTTTTCTCCCCTTGAGGCAGAAACTGTATTGTTGGTTCCACTCTCCTTCTCCACAGCTGTAGCTGGTCAAGTTCATGTCTCAACACTCGTCATTCATTTTGATGAGCTGTCTACCTTAAAGCTGTATATAGCCCGAGGCTGAGTTAGCTGGGGCTGGCAAACTCACCACAGGTGTTGGAATGACAGTAAACTACCACAGCGCAAAAAAAACAAGCACAAAACAAACATGCGAATGTTTGACCATGCGTAATATTCTGAATCACCAGGTATACATTTCTAGTTAAGTATTGTGTATTTTTTTTAATTAGTGTTATTACTTCTCAGCTCCATTTTTCTCTTTTTGTAACATGTAATTGCTCCTTTCATAGCTGTATTTTTAACAACAGTAATAAAGCAATTTCCCTGCAGGGATCAATACAGTTTTTTTCCTGATTCTTCTTCTTATTATATTATGTTTGGAACAGTGATCTGTACTTGTTTTAAAGGTCTTTGGCAAGATAACGCCTCACAGCTTTCCTTGAAATATCTTAATAGTATTTTTTATTAAAAAAAGGACTTTTTATTGCTGTTGTTTTCAATAAAATGTTGATAGCTTTAGTGCTATTATTAAAGATAGCTGTAATAAGAGACAGGCAGGCTGGAATCATTTAAGCTCAGTATAAAACAGTGTAGATTAGGTGGATGTGGTTTGAACAGTAGAAAATCATTAAGCGTAGCACAGCTGAGCTCTGCTCTAGTTGGAGGCATCAATGCTGTGCGTTCATCTGAAAAGTGAGCGGGGGAACAGGGTAGTCACCCCATCAGGGCCCAGTGGAGAGGTGAGTTGACCCGGGGTGGAGGACAGAGTAGCGCCCCAGGACTCTAGACGCCATTGCGTGGGTGTCAAATGGCCCGGAGCTGCTCCTACACTAACACT